TTAAAAAAAAAAAAATATATATATATATATTTATTTTATGTGGATGAGTATATTGCCTGCATATATGTAAGTGCGCCCATATTGTGCAAAGCCGGTGGAGGTCAGAAGAGGCTGTCGGATTACCCTGGAACTGGAGTTCCAGATGGTTATTAGCTGCCATGTGGGTGCTAGGAATTGAACCTGGGTCCTCTGCAAGACCAGCCAGTGCTCTTAACCGCTGAGCCGTCTCTCCAGCGCCATCAGATAGCTTTCTTATAGAGCCCAAGCCTACCTGTCTAGGGATGGTGCAGCCCGCAGTGGACTGGGCCCTCCCACATCAATCATCAATCAAGACAGTTCCTCACAAACAACAGCATAGGCATACTCATTAGAAATGAAATTTTATAAAGTTAGGAATTTTTGAATCCTATGGACTTGGCAGCTTTTACACATGCACCATTAAAACTGACAGCTCTGTGCCCAGCAAAGTGCTAAGCTACTGTGAAGAAGGAGACAGAGAAGTAACTGCACACAGACAGGCCAGACACCAAATTGCCACCCATTCTGGGCAATATGAGGTTTCCAGCCATAGTGAGGGCACCCAGCCCAGCCCTGGTGATTCACTGCAGCTATACAGGAGAGCCAGCCCACTACTGAGAATGGTGCTGAGTACTTGGTGACTGGCACACATCAGAACCGTAGGAAGCTCAGCATCGGAGATGTTTGTAGCCCACCTGGGCAGGGACAGGTTCAGGTGCTGATTCTGAAAGGAAATTGCTCTTGGGAAGATTCAGATAGCCCATCATAGAAGATAGAAGATTATTTTGTTCTGCCTAAGGGCCTGCCAGGGAAGAAGGACCTGTGCAGACAGGAGCAGATGGCCGATACTACACCAGCCAATGATTTTCCTGGTTTTATTGCTTCAGACCAGGTTTCCAGGCTCCCTGGGTAAACTGCCAGTTGTAAATGGCCCTTTTCCAAGATAATACTAAAATGTATTTGAAATGGCAGAGGGTAATAGGAATCACTTACTCCAAAGCGACTTTGAGTCAGGCATGGTGCTGCACACCTTTATTCCCAGCACTTTGGAGGCAGAGGCAACTCAGCCTGGTCTACATAGTGAGTTCCAGGCCAGCTGGGGCTACAGGGAGACCCTGTCTCAAAAAGAAAAAACCTAATTCAAACATTTTAAGGGGGCTGGAGAGATGATGGCTCAGTGGTTAAGAGCACTGACTGCTCTTGCCTAATACCTGGATTCGAATCCCAGCACCCACATGGTGGCTAACAACCATCCGTAACTCCATTTCCAGTGGATCCAGCACCCTCTTCTGTCTTTTGCTGGCATTGCATGGCCTGAGTGCACTTACATACATGCAGACAATACACTCATACACATAAAATAAAAATAGAATAAATATTTTTTAAAATGCCACTCTGGTATCAGTCCTGTTATAGAACTTTATACAGAAAAAAGATTTAAAGTCCAATAGTGTGATATTAGTCCTACCTGGAATCTCCTACTGGTTAAATTGGAGAATATACTCTGAATTAAAGTTAATGAAACACTAGTTACAAACAATGGGAAACAGATGTGGGAATATGGAGAAGTGTTTATGTCTCCTCTGTTTTATCTATGTATTAATCTTGCAGTTAATGACCCAGCTATTATGGCAACCAAGAGCGGTGCCTACTTCAGTAAACAGAAAAGTGGGTACCCTTGATTATAGCCTCATTCAGCTTTGAGTATCTTGACATTTCTAACAACTTTTGAATGTTTGAGAGAAAAAATTATCTATTCACGTAGCAAGTCAGAAAACACTTTAGTATGATCTGAAACACCAGTCTCATATAGGCCCCCTAACCCCAGATGTTGAAGATATTTTTAGGGTAGGAAAGAAGACACTAGAACTTGGAGTTTAATTTATTTTCATTCTTCTGAAAATTGTCAGTATATTTGAAAAGAAGCACGTGTGTGTGTGTGTGTGTGTGTGTGTGTGTGTATGTACATGTAGAGGTCCAAGAACAATTTTTTTGGAGTTGATTCTATTTCCACCATGTAGGTTTCTGGATTGACCTCAAGTTGTCGGGCTTGGCAGCAAGCACCTTTACCCACTGAACCATCTCACAGTCCCTAGGTATACAATATCCTGGAATACTAGCAAATGCATATTATTTACAAGTGAATTTGAGATGCTTGTTCAATAATACATCAAAAAGTTTGGAAGCTACTAGTCCAGAATAGATAAATTGTAAATATGGATCAGACTCTAAAGCTACACAGAAGTTAAGTAAAGGATATTCATACTGTACTTGTAAAAATGACTGATGAGCCAGGTGTGGTGGTGCATGCCTTTAATCCCAGCACTCAGGAGGCAGAGGCAGGTGGATCTCTGTGAGATTGAGGCCAGCCTGGACTACATAGCAAGTTCTTGGCAAGCTGTAGCTACAGGAAGACCCTGTCTCAAAAAGACAAAAAAAAAACCTTAATAATTCTCCCGTCCCCTCTTGCTCCCCCTGGCGCTGACTCTACAGGCCTAATGCACAGTTTGCTGCTTTATCGGGAGCTTCTGCCATTGTTTTCTTTTCCTTCTTTTTCCTACTAGATCACATAAGTTTAAATTGCTTTGCACCAAGATGGACTCCTTTTCCAACCTTTTAGTCTGATTGCTTTTCAGTAAAATAAATGTTGGGATATTTCATTTGTGAGTGGACTGTGCTTAGCTAGCTATCATTCTTGGTGGAACATCATAATTTGCCACTCAAATTCCTGAAAGGACTGTTTAGTCCATAAAATTGTGGGACTCCTTACAACCTAATTCTCACTTGAATATCTTTAATGTGTTACCAGCACCACAGCATTACCTGATTCTTATGAAGCTTAGTCTAGCCAAGTTGTAATTTAATTAACGGTACAGAAAAATGCCTTTCAAGAATATACTTGTAGCCCCTGTGAATTCTTCTACAGACTAAAACTCTTAAAAGTTCTAAAAGGGAAAAAAGTCATTATTTCAGGAAAATAAATTCACACCAGCCCATAGCTAAAGACTCTTCTCTACAAAACTAAACATATATTGTCATCCACAAATAGGATTTAAAAGCACAAAGGATGCCCCAAGCATGGTGGTGCTCACCTTTATTCTCAGCTCTCAAGACGCAGAGGCAGGAGGATCTCTAAATTCAAGGCTAGTCTGGTCTACATAGGGAGTTCTAGGCTAGCCAGGGCTACATAGTGAGACTGTTGTTTAAA